CAGGCAGGGCACTCGCAGCCTCCTGATTGCATTGTCCAGGGCAATTGCTGGCTGGTGCTGGGTTTTCCACGTTCCAGCCTCATTTCYGCACTGCTGAGGGTGCTCTGCTCTGGAGACATGAGCACTGACTAACCCCGTCACRGGAAAGTGCAGCATCTGAGGCACTGATCCTCCAGAATGAGGAGTGGTCCWCCCTCAGATCACATCTGCCAGGGGCATCACAGACAGGCTGCCTTCCTTCCCATCAAAAGGTGGTGCTGCWCTGCAGAGCTGTGGATCCATCATTGCACACAGGCTCACACACTCGCAGTTTTTCTGGCCTGCTTGTTGTAGCTGCTCACGGTTGAAGTTTGACTTAGTAAGATTTGGCCATGCCCATTGGTGGGAGGTTGTAACTTCCTTGAAGGATACGTGTTGTCCTGCAGCAGTGCAGATGCAGTGGAAAAGATTCACGATGGACAGATATTCTGGGGTTGTCAGGATGAAAGAATATTGAGCGGAAACACAAAGAGATTTTATTTATCATGCAGTGAAAACTTTCCTCAAAATGGAGGAGTTTGTCTTGCTCATCCAAGCTTTACAAAACCATCGTGGTCTGTCAGGCAAGTAAATGTCTGCAAGTCTTTTGATTTGCAGGGTCTAGAAGAAGAAAATAGTGAAATTAAGCAAGGAGGTGGTAAGGACAGGGGAGGTGAGTTGTAAGGAGGGATTTGGATGCCTGTCCCAAGGGTTTAATTTCTAAAGGATRGATTAGCTCTTTGTCTTTGACTTGAGTTTCTCAGCTCTGACATGGAACAAGTTTTCCCAGTTTTTGAGAGCAGCCCTCACCTGTGCCCTCCAGAAACATCTAAATTAGTGAAATTGCTTCCCAGGTTAGTGGTTTCCAGAAATACTTCTGTGGCTTGAGGCATCCTGGCTTAAAAYTGAGTTGAGTCAAACATTTATGAAAGACATTTGAGTGAGTCCAAGGGCTTCTGTTTCAATTTGTGCTCAGTCAAACCTGAGGTGATATTTTCTTTTTGCCAAAAGTAAGCTTTGTAATATACTGACAGAATTCTCTATTACAACTGARACACCAGTTTCAGTGAGATTGGGTAAGATTTTGATAAATGTGCTCTCAAATTCTTGCTTAATGGAAAGGAGAAGTGTTTTTCACCAGTTCTTTGTATTTTCTTCACAAATCACAGAAYSACAAAGTGATTTRTGTTGGAAGGGACCTTAGAGACCATGTCCTGCTATGAGGACAGACACCTTTCACTAGACCAAGTTGCTTCAAGTTCTGTCCATCCTGGCCTTGGACACTTCAGGGACAGGGCATCCATATCTAAACTGTTGTAGACTTCTGCAAAGCTGGAATAACAAACACAGCAAACACTTGGATCAAGGGTGAGAGAAAGTGCTCAACACCACCCAGCTGAAAACCAAAATTGTGAGTGTGAGGTAGCTCAGGACAGGCAGCTCCAGAGAATGGATTTGATACCTGTGACACCCTGGGGTTTGCCATRTTGCTGAACTCCTGCTGTGTCAARCTGCAGCCTCCCTGCCTGGTGTGCTCTGTCCATCCGTGCCTGGTGTGCTGCTGCGGGCTGCAGTCACACCGTGGCACCAGCGTGGTGTGTGAGTGACATCTGAGCTCTGTGTGCCCCCTGTGCCCCCTGTGCCCCCAGGACATCGTGCTGACGCTGCAGGAGAAGCTGTCCATCCGCAGCATCGCCCACTTCGCGCTGGTGCTGGAGGAGCAGTACAACCTGGCCAAGATCCACCTGCTGCACGAGGAGGAGCTGATTGCGCAGGTGAGCAGAGCCCAGTGAGGGGCAGGGGGAGCCCAGCGCTGCAGGTGTCACCAGAGGGGTGACCTCAGCCTGATGCCATCCACTGCTGCTGTGGTGTTCACCCACGTGCCTTGGGAAGTGGCACTTTGGGAGCATCCTGCCCTGATTGGAGTGCCCACAGGACTGAGCTTCAAAACAGCCCTAAGACAGCTGTGCATGCTCTTTACAGTTCCCTGAGTAGTCAGAGCATTCACCCAGGCAGGGGCCACTTGGATTAAATCCTGAATCAGTAGTTGGTGTCCTGTGAATATGAGGTGAGCTCCTGCAATCTTGCCTCTCCTACAGTAGCCCTGGGCTCTTTCAGTTTGTGAGGAGGTGCCTGCTCTGGTGTCTCAGCTCCGTGCTGATGGGCTGTTGGATGGCAGAGGGGTTCATGGATTCCTATAGAGAATATCCTGAATTGGAGGGGATGCACAAGGATCTTTGAGCTCAAGTCCCATGGTGGCTRGTGCTGTCAGACCACTGAGCACATGGGTCAGAGGATTTCTGCTGGGTAGGATTTGCCCAGAATAAAATATGCTGATGTCTAACTCASAGTCTTGACATTGTATTGACATTACACTGATGATTCAGGGGTCTGTTTAGGGCTGCTTTGTGTCTTGTGACTGAGCTCCAAAGCAGAGCAGCTGCCCCTTCCCACACTGTTATCACACAGCCCCAGAGCCTCTGTCCTGGTCACTCTGCAAGTGTTTGGGATCAGTGGGTGTTTAAATGAAGTGTCRCTGTCAAAGGGCTTCTGAGCCACTGCAGGGTGAAGAAGAAAATAGACAAAGAGTCAGAGATAAAATTACAAACATTAGCAAAGTCTCCTTGTGTTTGTTAAGGACAGTCTGCACCATCTGCTTGCCAGCAGCTTTGAACAATTGTGGGTTTGTGTGAGCAAAGGCTCTTTGTGCATTTGTAGAGGGAGGGTTTGTGGCATGATAGCCTCTGTCTGTTGCAGGTGGTCCAGAAGAGAGACTCTCATGACTACCGSTGCCTCTTCAGAGTGTGCTTTGTCCCCAAGGACCCCTTGGACCTCCTGCACGAAGACCCAGTGGCCTTTGAATATCTGTACCTGCAGGTGACATTGGGGCATTCCATGATTAGGAATCCCTTCTCAGCCCATTCTCATTTTTGCTTTAAACCAGAACATGCCTCAATTCGCTCAGCTGTATAGATGTGAAATGCAGAGCACTTAAAATCAGAGCATTTCAATTTGATTTGCCTTAAATTCTTAAATCAGCTTGTGTGCTTGGCTGGTGTGTGGCGTCACGTTGGCAGTCTCATTCTGTCCTCGTCCTGAGCTAACTCTGCTCTGTTTGCTCCAGAGCTGCAGTGATGTGCTCCAGGAAAGGTTTGCTGTGGAGATGAAGTGCAGCATGGCGTTACGTCTGGCTGCTCTGCACATACAGGAGAGGATCTACGCTTGTGCTCAGCCACAGAAAGTGTCCTTGAAATACATTGAGTAAGTGCACAAATTTCTGTGTTCTCTTGTGGCGAAAGAAGGAGCCACCTCGAGGTGGCCATTTGTTTGGTATTTATCTCAGCACAGGAAYCCAAAGGGCACTGCAGCCTCTTGGTTGTGCTGCTCGTTTTAGGGCAGGGTGGTCTCMGGGATCTCCCTGTCCTGACCCTTCTCAAGTACCTGAGTGATACAGACAGTGAACACCTGGATGTGTCCCGAGGCAGAGGGAGGTTCTGATYTCTCACAGGGGCAGGGCAGGGACTTGAATCTGCAGATCTCTCACGCAGTGATGGTTAGCCAAGCTGCTYCTGCCAATATTGACTGCAGTATCTGGAGAGAGAGAGTATTATCATCAATTTTGCACAGCCAGTGCATCTCTTCAGCCACCAGAAGCGTGACAGAAATACCTCMTTTGGGCAACAGCAATAGACCCTGTGAAGTATTGGGATCTGTGGAGAAATGACCAAAAAATGCTTTTTGCCAGGAGCAGGTGTGCCGTGCTGCACATTGGTGCTCTTAGACTGTACCTGCCCTAGAGAACCCCCTGCTCTAGGAAGTGCTGACGAGCTCTTTGTTAATTACCAGGCTCTGGTGTGGTGATGGACAGTGCTGTGCAGACAGATGTGCCCAGCTGTGTGCAGGGAGTGCAGGGGCAGGGGCAGCTTCAGTGCTGTCACCTCACAGGTGCTTAATGCTTGGTGAATAAACTCACCGGCGGCACAGGGTCCGGGAAACTGAATGTGCTGAAATCACATAATCGTGTCACCAAAGCAAGCAAAGTGTGTGCAAGGACAAAATCTCCATCCTCTGGACGGTGAGGGGAGATTGGGACTGTCCTGCTAATGGAGGTTGTAATTAGCTCCTGTAAAACCATGTGRAAATGGGCATTTTGCATGAAAGTGCACACTGTCCAGCGCTATTCCTGAACTGGTGGCAGGTGCAGGTAGCAGTGAATTTGAGCGAGTGAGGTCCTTGGGTGAGAGGCACCTGAGGCTGTGTGCTGCCTCTGCCCTCCTCTGCCTCTGCCCTGTCCTGTGGTGCTGGCATCAACACAGCCAGGATTCCCCGTGCTCCTTTCCCTCTTTCTGCCAGGAGGGACTGGGGAATCGAAAACTTCATCTCACCCACCTTGCTTCGCAACATGAGAGGGAAGGACATCAAGAAAGCCATCAGCTACCACCTGAAGCGGAACCAGGTGCTGCTGGACCCTCGGCACAAGGTAGTGTGTGAGCCCCAGGTCACAGTGCCTATGGGATGGTGGCTGTGTCTCTCAGGGCTGAAGAGGCAGTGCCCTCCCTCCGTGGGTTTGCTCCCCATGTGTTGCTTGGGGCTTTTCTCCTGCTTTTCACCCTCTGTGCACACACTCCCTGGTTTCYCTGCATGGTTTGTTGTGCTGCACTGTGCTGTGGGGTGCCAGATGCTCAGTGGGCCACGTGGGATGGTCCGTGGCCACCTCTGTTGCCTGTCCACGCTGTGCTTGGTGTGTTGGTCAGATACCCAGCTGTGCACAAAAGAATGTCTCCCATCCTGCAGCTGCCTGCAACACCTGTTTCTAAWCTGTGTTTCCTCTCTTGCCAAACAAAGCACACACTCACAGCAGCCCATGTGCGCCTGAGCTACCTGCAGATCCTGGGAGAGCTGAAGATGTACAGTGGGAAGATCTTCAATGCCACAATGATGGTGCGAGCTGTTTATTTTGTGATTGTTTTTGGTGTGCTGGTCACACTGCTTCTGCCTGTCCTGGAATATCAAGGTAGATGTTGGTGAGGGGATCTAACAGAGTGACTCAGCATAGTTGCATTGAAGTGTGCAGAATACAGACCAGCCTATTTTCTCCAATATTGCATATTTTCTCTAATTGAAAGCTGTTACTCCTGCTCTTCAGATAAAGCCTGTCTATATTTTGTGTGTTGTAAAGCACTTGAGAAATCTGGGGAGGCTTCAAACACTTTAAAAGATACTGAAAACACTTAAAGCTCACTGTAAAAATGAACTCTGCTCTTTTTACAAGCTGTTCCTTGGATTGTTGTTTTTTTGGCCTGTCCTCACCTTGGTGTGTGCTGAGCTACAGAACACAAGCTGTGTCACATAGGGAGCTGAGAAATGTCTGTGGCAGAGCAAGACCTCACCCATGGGTCACAGTAATGCCAAAGTTTATACCTACATGCAAATTGAACGATTTCTACCAGATTATAAATGCCTTAATTCATTTTTCATTAACTTTCACCCTAACGGAAAGCACTGAYGTGTCTTCCAAACCCAGAAAAAGTCGTTGTGAAGTTTCTCCCCTGCAGCCACAGCAGGTCTCCATATGGGGACACCCTGCCGTGCCACGTGCTGCTGCTGATAGCAAACCACGTGCTGCCAACCATGTCTGGGGCCTCCTGGGGACAGGGAATCTGATGGTTCTTGTGTGGGGGAAAGAGCTCAGAGCAGGCTCCTGTGGCAGCCCAGTGCCAAAGGGATTGTGGTGCTGAGATCCCTCATGAGGGGGTGGCTCAGGGTCCTGCCCAGCACAGCTGAAGGGGTTCCTGCCCAGGTTTTGTTGATAGGTTTAACCTCTGCCCCTACAGCTGCAGGACAGGGAGTCGTACGTGGCATTGCTGGTGGGCGCCAAGTACGGGGTGAGCCAGATCATCAACAGCAAGCTCAACATCATCACCAACTTGGCTGAGTTCCCCAGCATCAGCAGGGTGGAGCTCAGCGAGGARTCAGAGCGGGTCAGCACCGTCAAGATCTACCTGCAGGACCTGAAGGTGAGTGGCTGTGTGGGGACAGAAGCACTGGGGGAGTCACTTGCACCATCAGCTCTCCTAAAATTCCAACACCAGGCTGAGGGTGTCACCCGTATAAAAAATTTAGAACAGATGTAGGAGGGAAAGCTCATAGGAACCAAAAAAATTACAGGGGAGAAGTGATTCTTCCTCCATCAGCGAGACACATCAAAGGCACAAAAGGCAAGAAAAATGATTTATTCTTTGTGCCTTGTGCAAAAACAGACTGAGGGAAGTATGAGACAGAGGGGTTTCCTTGTCATTGTGCAGCCTATTCCTGCAGACTGTGGTACAAACAGTATTTGTTCATTCTAATATTTTTTGTGCTTTTCCCCCCCACACCCCAAAAAATAAACAAAAAAAGGTGCTCACTCTGCTGCTGGAATCAAACAGTGCRAAGGACCTCGTCTGCCTCATCGTCGGTTACTACAGACTCTTTGTGGATGCAAACGTCTCCATATTTACCTGGGGAGAGAAAAAACAGCAACTGCACCGTGTCTCAGCTGAAGAAGGTTAAAAACCCAGCCTTTTTTTGGCAAAGAGTGGGGAGGAAGCGGGTGGAGATATTATTCCCTCTTGGGAAGAACAGCATTTTGTGGGACCAATAGCCGAGGCTGTGTGGTGGCACCTGTGGATGATTAAGGCTGGACTTGAAGATCTTAAGAGGGCTTTTCCAAAATTCATGGTTCCATGATTGTGCGATAGCCTCAGGCTTGTGGGGGTCAACTGAGGCTCAGGGCGCATCTCCAGGGGTGCTGCTGTGGGATAAAAGCACCCCACAGGTCCAGCTGCACCCTTCCCTAAGCCCCCCAGAGCAGTGTCTGGCTGATCCCCCTCCCCACCCGCAGGATGAGCTGACAAATCTGTTTAAATCCCAGGGTATGAATCCCGAGCCTGCAGCGACTCTGAAGATTCTTGGGACCAGGATTCCTCTTTGGAGTGTCGCATGGACACCCCTTTGGTGTGTGGCAGTGAGGAGGGCCAGGGAGAGCCCTGCAGCCCCGGGGGGAGCAGCACAGAGCCCCAGGCTGGAGGGGGTGACCCACGGAATGGGGGTGACAACGCCACGGACAGCGCATCCGAGGCGTCCGACTCGGCCAACACCGAGAGCCGAGGGTTCAAGACGAGCGGCTCCAGCGACTCCATGGATGCACTGGAGGAAGATGAGCTGGAAGCGTGCTCTTCCTCCAGGCCAGAGCTGTTCCTCTTCTACACGCCGACCGTGCACGAGATGAGCAGCTCAGACAAGAGCTTCGTCCCGGTGCGTGCCGCAGGGAGCCCCGCCAGGGAGGCAGCCAGGGATTATTTCTGCTTCCTGCAGGTGCCMCCGGCAGAGCAGCCGGGGCACGGGGGCAGCCCCGCTGAGCAGGGAGCGGGGGCGTCCACTCTGGAGGTCAGGCTGTCCGAGATGGACACCACGGGCTACTACAGCCTGTGCTACAGCACATCSCCCGCGGCCAGCGCGCAGGGTGTGGGGCACGGCACGTCTGCCCACGAAGGGCACAACTCGGGGGCCGGTGACCTCGTCCTAAAGCCACCCCCGGGCTTCGGTGACTCCAGCTCCGAGGAGGAGTTCTACGATGCTGCRGACAGGCTCAGCCCTCTGGCCACAGGTAAACCCACACCCCTTCCTTCCTTTCTCCCACTGCCTGCGCTGGGGTGCTGCCCCTTCTCCCATTGCTCTTCCTGAGGGGCTTACCTTCCAGCTCCTGGTAGTTTTCCCCAGACTTTTGAACACCCATTCTCCGCAGACCACGGTTACAGTGACATTGCRGGATGGTTTGTTATTGCATGCAATCACCGGCTCCTGGGAAAAGTCAATTTTCAGATGAATGGCGATCTGGAATTTCTACTCTCTTCCTCTCAGCTAAGGAGACCCCAAACCTGTAAAACGTTGTTCCATACACCCCCCAAATCAAAGGTCATGCTCAGGTCAGGGGCTTGGTACACAGCTGGGTCAAGGATTCCTGGGGCTGAGCAGCTTGCTGGCAATTGTATTTTCTCAGAAGGGAGACGATTCTTATTTCTGCAGTAATCAGCTCTTTCATGATTAACGGAACCTTTTAAGAATTTGATTTGTGCCATTGGATCAATTTGGCTTTTATATTAATGCACAGTCACTGTTCAGGCAAAAACTCTCATCTCTGGAAATTTTTATCACCTAAATATCCAGCTGGGAACCTCTGACCATGTTTCTCTCTGATGAAAAGCTTACAGCTGTGGGCAGTGCTCTTGGAGTGCTGCCACTGTGCCCAAATTTAACTGGGGAACTACAGAGACTCCAGAGCCCTCATCAGTGACTGGRTTTCTGTAGCCATACACCCAGGCTCTGCCTTTTTTTTGACATCCAAGTCCAAGTAGATGATTGATCATGAGAGACCATTTCCTTTGGTCCTCAGGAGCCAGGTGTTCTTGCTGGACATTTCTGTCTGCAGTCCCAAGCTCTGTGCCGAGAGCATTTTGACCCACTGTGTATTTTGCTGCCTGGGACTACTTCCTGATTTCCATGTTTTTTTCTTGCCATCAGGCTGTGATACAGCATGCTGGGAGGGTACAGAGAACTCCTCCTGCATCCCAAAGAGGCTGAGGTGCTACAGCTCGGGGGAGAGCCCATCAACGAGGCAGACGGGGTTGGAGAAGGAGCTGACCTACGCCAAGAGCCTGAGGAAGAGAAGGTCTTTTCTGAAAACTGATTACACCTCACAGGTCAGTTTCCCTGCAGCTCTTCCAGGCTCTCCACAGCGCTGCTGCTCCTGGCCACCCACTCAGCCCTCCACAGTGGACACAGGGATGGACATGGACAAGGGGCTCCCTGCCGCTGGCACAGAGCCCCGCTCTGCTCTGATGAACGTGGAGCCTGACACCACAGAGACAAAATCAGTGATGGAATGGGTGGTTTCACCCATTGCGGATGTCCACCACCCCGGTGAGCAGTGTGGGGAGGAGGACAGCRGCCTCCAGCCAGCACACCCCGCTTTGTCCCTGGGGGCAGCTGAGCCCCGTCCCAAAGGGCAGGGTGGAGCTGCCCAGGAACGCTCCCCGGTGCAGACAGGTGCCAGGGGTGTGAGTGAAGAGAGCTGTGTGCCCACAGGAGGCTGGCAGATCCACGGGCCACACGAGAAGCGGGGTGAGGCACTGGTCACCCTGCACAAGGCCAGCGCAGTGCCCCTGCCCTGGGAGCCGCAGGGGACCGGCCCCGCTGACCGACTGCCATCGGCTCCTGTGGCCAGCAAAGCCCCTCCAGAGCTGGCTCAGGACCGGGGGAGGCTCTTTGTGAGCGTGGAGCCTTCCCTGGCTCCCTGTCAGGGCAGCAAAGCTCACGGTCAGGGCTGTACCGTTGGCAAGGGCAGTGTCCACGGTGATCGCTGTGCTGAGGGTCAGCGCTGTGCCGATGGCGATCACTGTSCCAATGGTCAGTGCTGTGCCGATGGTCAGTACCATTCCGATGGTCAGCACCGTGACGATGGTCGGTGCTATTCCGATGGTCAGTGCCATGCCAATGGCGATCACCGTGCCGATGGTCAGCGCCATTCCGATGGTCAATACCATTCCGATGGTCAGCACCATTCCGATGGTCAGCACCATTCCGATGGTCAGTACCATTCCGATGGTCAGTACCATTCCGATGGTCAGCGCCATTCTGATGGTCAGTGCCGTCCTGGGGCCATGTCCCGCCTGAGGGGCCGGTCGCTGGCGGTCGAGCCCGCTCTCAGGATGGCTCCCGCCGGCCGTGTGGGGTTCCCGGAGGCCGCCCAGCTCCTGGCGGATTGCGGCGGTGCTTCAGGCGTTCTGAGCCGCCTGTCCTGGCTCTCGTTYGGGGTCAGGGCAGAGCCTGTGTCACCGGACCCACTGCGGGACAGGGGTCCACATCAGAAATGTCCCCAAGCGGTGTCCCCTTGGGCCCGTGTGAAGGGCGGCGGGCGCTCGGGGGCTGAGGGAAGGGAGATGCCGCCATTCCCTGCTGGAGCAGGCTGTGGCGAGCAGGCGGTGAGCAGCTCRGGGCTGGGTGAAGGGCTGTCCATGAGGGGTGCAGGAGCTGTGTGTGAGCAGGAGCCTGCACAGGCTGTGCCCAGAGAGCCGGCCGTGGCGCTGGGGAAAGGCTCCGGCCTGGCTCCTGGCATTGCCATCTCCTCAGTCCCGGTTCCCTTGGGGAGAGGAGCAGGAGACCACGGCGCTGCAAAACACTCCTTTTTGTGTTTTAACCCCAAGGAGGGTGAGCCGAGCCCTCCAGCCCCCATCCTGGCCAGGCCCCTGGGCTGYTCGCAGGCGCTGCGGGGTTTGGACAGCTGTGGCTGCCAGCTGCCCTACATCAGCTGCTTTCCCCAGCCCCACAGGCAGGGTGAAGGTGAGCCCAGCTCGCCCCCATTCCCCGGGCCCCTCACCAGCCCCCCRTCCAGCAGCTGCAGCCTTCCCCGCATCCCCAGCAGAGCTTTTCCAGTCCCCATGGCTGGCGAGGCGGCAGGGCAGGACCCCCACATCCGAGTGCTGGGGCAGCTGAAGGACCAGGCATGGATGAACCCTGCGGATTTCTCCCGCTTCCTGRCCTACACTGCGCAGCTCCAGGAGGTTGTAGGGGAGCTCTGTGGGAGCCAGGCCACCCACCTACACGACCAATGTGCAGAGCAAGGTGCAGAGAGCAAGGGTGCCCTGGGCTGGGCTTCCCAGGACCTGCTGTCCAGCTGCCAGGCGCTGCTGAGCACGGAGCAGCCTCTCACGGAGGTGCAGTGCGCACTGAGAGCGACGTTCGACCGCCTGGTTCACCTGGCAGTGACCTGCTTCCAGGTGACACACTGCTGGCAGTGCAGGCAGAGGCAGCAGGAGCTGGGGGCTGCGCTGGGCGATGTGGTGGGCACCTACCAGCAGCTGGTGCAGGCTCTCCACCAGCAGCTCCACGGGCAGACGTGCCCTGAGCTGAGCACCAAGCTCCTCGCCCGCCAGCACACGGCTCTTTCAGCTGCCATCTTCTGCCTCCTGCAGCAGTTCAGGGCATCCCCGTGGCTGTGAAAGGCTGGGTGAGCGAGGGCACACAAGGGCACAGAGCCCCAGCCCTCTCCACCCCAGGCTCTCCCCCAGGTGATGTTTAGCCCCAGGATGGCCGTGGGAGGACACGCCTGCACCTCTTGGCTGGGCTCCCCAGAACAGCCATGCCCCAGGTGCTCTGGAGTGTGTGTCCTGCCCAGGGCTCATCCCTTGCCTCCCRCTGGCCATGCAGGTGGTCAGTCTCACGGTGTTGTCTCAGCTGCCTTTCTCACCCATGGGAAGGCTGGGAGCCTTTCAGCCTGCCTTTCACCCACTCTGCTCTGCAGGCAGACTCTGGACTAAGGGGACATCARACCCATCCTGGCCTAATGAGAAGGAGCCCGGGTGGCTTTCTGTACCTTCTGTGGCCGAGGGAACACAGTGATCCCATATCCAGCTGCTTTTCCTTGGCAGCAGAGGGTCATCCCAGGCCAGGATGCTGCTCTGCTGCATTTCCTGTGTCAGCAGCTCCTCTCACCGTGTGCTGATGAGCAGGACAAGCCCCGTTGAGCCCCCACCCCATTACTCTGTGTCTGCCAGAAGAAACAGGCAAACCCCAACAGCACAGCACTGCAGCCAGAGCGGTGCAGGGACCACCACAGGCTCCCTGAGTGAGGGAGGACCTGTCCTGTCCCACTCCCAGGTGTGACTCACCCTGGCCTGCTGTGAGCTGCAGGGTGGTCTCGCTGTGCATCCCAGGGCAGCACTGCCATGCCTGCGGGTGGAGGGGGCACAGCTCAGTCCCTCAGTGCTCAGGTCCAGCCTAGGGGTGGTTTTAGTGGCCACCTTTCCCCAAGGAGCTCTGGCTGCAGCTGASTGTGCTTAGGGTGATGGGGATGCTGAGGAGCAGAGTCTGGCTCAAGTGATGGCACCACTTCTTGCCAGGCACTGTGGGGACAGGACTGTCCCCTGGCTCTGGGACACCCAAGGGGACCATCTCCACATCGGGCTTGCCAAGAGCCCCCASGGCACAGCAACAGGCACTGGGCCAACACTGACACAACACCCTGGGCCCCTGGTGTGGCTAACACCTGGGTTAAACCACAACAGCCCCCAACAACTGCTCCTGCACACCCCACTGATACCTGCACCTGGGYGTGCATGAGACCCAGGGGTGTGAAAGGGTCTTGACACGAGAGAGGAATGAAAACACATAACCAAACTTACCTCAGGTGACCTTCAGGTCTTGCTGCCACTGGCCATGAGGTTTTAGGGCTCTTTTGGCAGCAATGGCTGAGGTAATGWATCGACTCAGTGGCACCAAACGCATTTCCTGCTGTGCCTGTGGCAGTGTCACTGCTCTGTGCAGGGCACAGCCGAGCACAGGCACCTCCCAGCAGGGACACGGGGATCAGGGACTTGTGTGTGTCAGGTGTGATGAGACACCACTCATCAGTAACTGTAGGGACACWATGGGGATCTAAATGTTTTATTTTATATTAGATGCATTCAACTAGCCAAAGGCTTCAGCAACTCACCGAGCCCTCACTGGGTTGAAGTTGTTGGGACRCAGTGCCCTTGGGGGCTGCTCCCCATCCTGCATTCTCCTGCAGGAGCAGCACTGTCCTGTCCCATGGTAGGGGGTTTTCCTTKCCCATAAGCTTTGCAATCCTAACTTCATCTTACTCTTCAAATAAAACTCACCTTACTGTTTAAATAAAATGAAGAAACGACCTTAAAGCTCTCTTCCCCACACCGGAACAAGCGTAGGTGGAGGACTCACAAACAGCTGCAAAGAAGCAAAACTGAATTCCTGTCAGTTTTGCCTTGTTCCCAGGCTCCACCAGCTTTTGTTCCCTGCTCAGGGGGACAGGAGATGTCCAGCATGGCACTCGTGAGGTAGATGTCGCTCCAACAAGGTCCTCGTGCTGACGGAAGCAGAGCTGTCTCCTGCGCACACTCATGTCGGTGCCTCCTGCCTGTGCAGCTCCTCACCACAAAATAAAGAGTTTTCTTGGGCAGCCGTGGTGCACTGCGGTGTTTTCAGCTGTTCCTCTCCATCTGGTAGCACGTAGCCTTTTCCAGAAGAAACTCCAGCCCTCAAGGCTGCCGGCCAGCTCCGTGTCTCGTAGTAGGTGGACAGGATATCAAAGACTGTCAGGAGCAGAGGGGTGTTGTGATGCTGGTGCCAGCAGCTCCACACACACACCCCAAACACCAGGGAGGTGGTGACAGYTGACTCAGAGAGGGTCCCCACTAACACCCGATGAGCTGCTGCTTGAGGCAGTTTATGTAGGGGCACACAGGTATTTTGGAGAGGACTTTAGGGAGCTCTGGGCAAAGCAGTGGCTGTGTCAACCAGAGCAAGGTGACCTCCATTACTGCTTTTTGGCTGACATGTGACACTTGTGGGTGTCCCCTCTGTAGTGAGGCACACCTGCTCTGCTCCCAGCATGACTCCCAGACACCAAAATCCCACACAAATCCCCCAGCCACCTCCTCTGCCTGGTACCAATGGAGGGACAAGAGTCTTCACGTCAGGGGTAAAACCCTGGAGGAGCTGGCCTGGCTCACAAGCCCCTCTGCAGTTGCCAGTAGAGAGGCATTCACCTTGCAGAGGAGGAGGAGCATAAGCACATCCTCTGCTGTGACCAGGTGTSTCAGCCCATGGGGGTACAGGACACCAACACCCCTCCCCGACATTGTCAGCCTTGGCTGAGCTGTCCTCCCACCCTTTGGATCACACCAGGCTCCTGTGTGGCCCTCTGCACTGTCCAGCCCCGGGGCAGCCCCTCACCCTGGTTGATGGCCAGCGTTTCSGAGTGGTAGTTCCTGGAATTGGGGGTTTTCACCATGTACTCGCGGATGGGGAGTCGGGCTGTCCGCAGGGACTGYTCCTGTGCCCGGCGCAGGGTCAGCTGCTGCAGGGGACACACGGACACGCTGACACACGGCCTCACGTGTGGCCTGAGCAGCCACAGAGCCAAAACCTGCCTGGGGCTCATGGCACCTGCACTGCTGCACCGTTCAGACAGAATTTGAGGAAAAAGGGGAGGTGGAGAATTCTTGTGAGAGAATGGGGCAGGCACCACCCACCTTGTGAATGCTCTCATCCACCAGCCCTCCCAGCACGTACACCTTGTCCGGATCAATGTCTTCGAGGACTAGGAACAGGACACACACTGGCTCACCACCACACAGCAGTAAATGGCACAGGACACYGCTCTCCCAGCAGACCCCACTCCCAAGGGCAGCAGTGGGCAGAGCCCCCTCGCCCCAGGGGATGAGGCTGAGGGCAGACAGGTCTCACCAGCGCAGATTTAGCACCAGATCTGAGCACACCGCACTGTCTCATGCAATGTCAGACAGCCAAAGCATGGAATGRCTTCAAAAAGAAATTTCTAACTCAACTCTCTGGTTCTGTTCTCCCTTGCCTAAAGCATGTGAAATATTTACCATTCTCAGAGTCAGGAGTGAGATAAACAATGGCATCCAAAGGGAACAGGTCCAGGTAACTCTCTGGAGTTGTATCCATCTGGAAAACACAAGATGGAGTGAGGCAGGCCATTAGCCCAAGGTACAATTGCCAGAACAAAGCCCCTCCCAGACAGCGATATCCTGGGACTAACACTACTGATGGGAACACACAAGCTCCTACAGATCTAGTGATCTGAGGTTCTTCTTTTTCACTTGGAAAATGTTTCGGTTCTGTGCACTGATCAACTGATGGGGACACACAAACTCCTAGAGACCTGGGGTTCTTCTTTATCATTTGGAAAATGTTTCCATTCTGTGCACTCATCAACACATCTAAAAACTCCAATGAATTCTCTCCTCACCAAAAGTTCAAAGTGTGCTTTGAGAAAGACAGAGCAGTAACAATTGTCTAATTTWAAATGGAATTCAGAGCACAGGGCTGAGCTCTCCCCGGGGCAGACCCTCACCAGGTACCGGGCGAAGCCGTCGTTCATMCGGAAGCACTGCTCGTAGATCGGCGTCCCCTTGGTGAACTCGGTCAGGTACAGCCAGAAGGGYCGAGCGGCGCGGCGGTTTGCCCCGTACAGCCTGCGGATCTGGGAGGCCAGGCGGCCACTCTCCTTGGGGACAGAGCAGGATGGTGACTCTGAGCCCGGGGCTGGCGGTCACTCGCCAAGTGAGCTCCCGGTGCCCCGCCCGCGGCACGGAGGGGACCCCGATGACCCCCACACCTTCTCGGTCATGCTGCCGCCCACGCCGAGGTCCACGCAGAGCCGCGGCCCCGCCGTCCGCGCCTCCAGCAGCCGCTCCGTGGCCAGGGCAGCCGGGACCCTCCCGCGGCGGACGGAGGGAGGGCCGGGCCCGGCGGGGCCGCTGCCGAGCGCCGCTCCCGGGCCGTCCCCGTCCCAATCCCCGTCCCCGTCCGCCGGTGTTCGCCGTGCCCGGCGGCGCTGCCGCTCCTGCCGCCGCTTCCCGCGCCGGGCGGCGAGAACGCGCTGCCAGCG